ATGGTTTTTGTGCATCACCCATTGCCACCAAACGTTTGCTTCCCCATCAAGGTGATAGGCAGCAATTTGAACTCGTTCGTATCTTGGCACATCATGGATCTCAAAAAATTGCACAGCCCGACTCAACCATGCGTCCGGATCTGTTCCCGTGAACGTGGGCATAGTAATTTTTGGCCGTGTGCCCGCCCGTTCATCCAGTTGCTCATAGCGCTCGTGACGTCGGTTATCGCGCCCCTCGCGCCGTCGCCGATCCTCGTCGTAGCGCTCTCGGTCATCGCGTCGTGCTCGGCGTTCATCGCGTGTGGACCGTGATGCGTACGATGCGTACGACTGTCGGTCGTAATCCTCCTCGTGCCTCGGGTGATGGTGTGCGCGTTCACCATGCCGTCGTCGGTCGTCGCGTTGGTGATCCGCGTGTGATGCGTGCGAGCCCCGCGATCGGCGATCATCCTCGCGCTCGGTCCCGGTGCTCACTGCCGTGGACCGTGACCCGTGCCTTCTCCTTGGCCGCGTGTTCATGCGTGTTAGTTGCCCGGCCAAGTCCTGGACCATTAGTTCGATCCTTCCCAAGTTCTCGTTGGTAGCATGTTGACCATCGCCGATGATCTTCATGTTATCATCCAAGGCTTGGATTCTCTCACGGTTTGACATCATAAATATATTTTTTTTTTTACTCTAAAAAAAATCGAAAATAATAGGGAAAAATTCGAAAAATTCGAACCCCCAACAAAAACTAAAAAATTCGAAACAAAAAAGAAATTCGGCCCCTCAACAAAAGGTAATAACCAAAAAAAATAACAAAGGACTAACAAGATGACACTTTTTTTTTTTACTCAAATTCGAAAATAAAAAGGGAAAATTCGAACAAAAATTCGAATCCCAACAAAAAATAAAGAGAAATTCGGCCCCTCAGCAAAAGGCAAACCGAAAAAAATAAAAAGATAAGATAGACAAAATATCGATTAGCACCTCTCAATGAAAGCACCAATGATGACGGATCGATCTTTTGTCTATACTTGGGTTGCGAAAACGACGCACTGCGGCCTTCGTTTATCCCCGATAGGTGTATCTAGCAGACGCACT